AAACCATTTCAGGTGACTACCTCTTGAAGCTCATGGAGAGAATGCCAAGAGTGTGCAAAGCAGTAATCAGAGCAAAGGGTGGCTATTTTGAAGAAACTAGAATATAAAACATGTTTTCAGTTATTTCACCTTTTTTTGTTAAGTACATAACTCCACATGTGTTCATTCATAGTTTTGATGCCTTCAGTGAGAATCTACAATGTAAATAGTCATGAAAATAAAGAAAACGCATTGAATGAGAAGGTGTGTCCAAACTTTTGGCCTGTACTGTACCTTGACATGTTTCGGCGGAAACTTCCGCCTTCCTCAGAAGTGTCAAGGTATGTAATATCCTAACATGTCTGAGATAAGAGAACCTAAAGTCATTAACATGTTTATGTGCCTTAATGTTCAAAAGACACATTATTTCTCTTATACTAACTGCCTGAATGTATCTATACTTACCCTTTGTCTGAAACGTTCCATTTTAGCGCCTGTTTCTTTAAGCTTCCCTCCTGAAAAGCCCAGTCTGCTCTGATTGGTCAGTGTTTCAGGGTCGTCCACATTTGCATCTCTGCATTGCAGCCAGGGGAGTGACTTTGACATCACTCTGGAAGCACTTTCTATTTTCCTGGTTCGAACCCCGAGGTGGGGGAGCCCTCCTGTGCAGAGTTTGCATGTTCTCCCCGTGTCAGTGTGGGTTTTCTCCAGGTACTCCGGCTTCCTCCCACAGTCCAAAGACATGCAGGTTAATTGGTGACTCTAAATTGCCCGTAGGTGTGAATGTGAGTGTGAATGGTTGTCTGTCTCTATGTGTCAGCCCTGTGATAGTCTGGCGACCTGTCCAGGGTGTACCCCGCCTGTAAACCAATGTCAGCTGGGATAGGCTCCAGTCCGCCACTAAACCTAACAGGATAAGAGGTTGCGGAAAATGATTGAATGTATGGTTTGATGAGTTTTAAGTAGGACCCTCAAAATTGCCCTGTCATGCAACGGTTGGAAACTGTACTTTTGTTCTCAAAATAAGTGCACATTGTCATTGTCCCCTGAATTAAACTCCCAGAGTTCACTGACAGTCTTCCAGCCTCTCAGTAACTGTTGTCCATACTTCTAACTCAAAGTGAAAGTTTGCAAGGTTCAGGTAGGCTTTTGCATTTTCTGTAAAGCTGCCAATATCTGTATGTTAATCTGAAACCAGTATCTCTGGGTTATGATTGTATTGTGTCCCTTTCCAGAGCTAAAGGAAGCAGTGGAAGATGTGCTGCCCTCACTCATCGAGCAGGGTGTCACCGTCCTCCTAATGACAAAACACTGTGACACCCCTGGGATTGAGAGCTTCTCTGATAAAGTGGACGAGGCGCCGGACACCCCGCTCCCTCGATCTCTCAGATCACACATCACATTCAAAAGTCCTGCAGTTTATATTTACACCTCTGGGACTACAGGTATGTGGTCGTGGCTGCTTTGGTTCCACAACAACGTACCACAGACGTTTTCAGGGTCTCTGCTTTTTGTGTCTGGTTGTATTTCAGGTCTCCCTAAGGCAGCCGTGGTCAATCAGAATCGCCTCTTAACAGCTCTGGTCGTTTTATCTTCAAACGGTGTAACATCCAGTGATGTCATCTACCTCAACCTGCCTCTGTACCACACGGCTGGATTCATCGTAGGGTTTATTGGCTCCATTGAGACAGGTGAGACAACTGAGATGTAGCTAAGAGCAAAGTGTAACACAAAGAAGGCTGTGAAGGCTGTGTGAGATTCCTTTCAAATGGATGAGTACGTATTTTACTGGATTAATGTTGTTAAACCAAACTGGTTAAAATTCAGACTGCAGCAAGAAGTAAAATCTGTACTAAAGCCTTTGGTAAGGTTCTTAATACCTTCTTGGGTTTAACAGGTTGACTACAATGGTTTACCGACTACAAGACAGTGATTTTTTCAATGCAAACTACTGTGAAATCAAACTGATCACATGCACAACATTTTTGTACCATAAACCAAACATAATTTAAAGATAACCATATGAAACAAAATAGTTTGACACACCAAACAGAAACTTTAAAAAAGTCACACAAAAGAGGTTGTGAATGCGAGTGGCTGTGAAATCCAAGCAGGGATGATTTGATGCATAATTTATGACAGATCTAGGTTCAGTTTGTCATACATTTTTGACATACAGTCACTGCCCTAACAGAACCACATGTCTCTGCTTTTTAAGCTAAATAAACAATTTAAAACAACATTGGATCGGTTCAAAAGTACATCCTCACAAAGCTGTGTAACAGAAATTCGACATTACACAATACTGCATCTGCAGTGTCTTGATGGTGTGACAGTTAAGACTGAAACACAAACCAGTGACGCTCCTTAAACTTTCGTACCTGATGCCTCATATTTTAAAATGTAGCTCTATTATGCTGACAGATTCACATGTTGGTTCATGGTAATCTTAATCTTTATTGTTTTTTATTGATTGTCAATTGAGTGACTGCAACTCAAACAAGCTCACACAGGACATTTGGCTGAGCATTGTGGGAACCACAATTGCCCTAAGAAATTTAAATTTAAACATTAAAACCACATTGGATCAGTTAAAAATGCATTGTCACAAAGCTGACAACAAAGCTGTGTTACAGAAGTTTGACATTAAACAATACCACATGTGTCTTGATGGTGTGATAGTTAAAACTGAAACATAAATCAGTGACACTCCTTTAGGGTTAGCCAGAGGTAAAGGTCATCTGTCCCTATTTTATGTCATTTATTGTATTTGTAAGGCCAATGCACATTAATCAGCATTTCTGTAAATGGGCCAGTGTTAGCCAGTTGGCTAACTTTCAACTCCAGTCCTTTGGCGAGATGTTTTGAAACCAATAAAAGGATAAAATCCACAGGACAATACACTGGATAAAGACAGCGTCGAGGCAGAAATACTCCATTAACTACAGCAAACAGAAATTCTCAAGGTAGAACACAGGTCATGCAAAGCAGCAAGCAACAGCAGAGCGCCAGTACAATACAACAACATGACAACAACTAACAGCATGCGAAGAGAGACGAAGAGATAAATAAGATAAATACAATAGTCATTATGGAGGTCTTGCTCCAGCTCCAAAGTCCATCTCTGAAATGTTAAAACATGCAGTTTCAGGTCAGCAATATGGTCATGTGCACTAACACACAAGCCATGCGACACAGAGTCAACCATGCTGTTAATAAGATAGATATTGTATACACACCCATGTAGAGATGCATGATAACCGTCAGTGTTCATACTCTGGTATACAGTTTATTGGTATATCGCTGCAACCGTAGGCTGCCTGTGGCTTTTTTTCTTAGTTTATGAAAAGTTGATGTTTTGGAGATACATGCATTTTACAGGACAACAAGGATAATTAACATATGATTATTGATCATTGTACTTCTTTATTATAGAAAAAAACAAAAGCCATAACATATAGTGACAAGAATGTAATCCATCACTGGCTTTCCACCTGCTATCACTGACAAGATATAGGGGTGTCATTTGGACATTAGATATCTGCAGTTAAAAGGGAAGTAAGGCCTCCGTTAGGTTCTCACACATGTACCTAAGTATGGGGTTATTGTGCTGCATAACTGTAAACCGAATTGAACTCATTCTCCTCCCTCCTCCTTCTCCCTCTGGTTTTCCCGCCCCTGTAGGAAACCAGATGAAAGAATCTTTTGTCACTGTGAACATGTAATCTGAACAGAGCCGGGTCAAACAAGACCAGATTACCTCGTCTTTATAACTGCTTCTTTCTAAATAGGCTAAAGTTCACACAGCTATTATATGGCTGAGTAAGCAGCCTGAGTTACACACACACACATCAGGAGATGTCCAACACTGCTCCACAACAATCACCGTCCTGTTGTGCACTACATGCAGTTCAATGGAATACAGTTTAATATTGTTGGCACGAGTATCTGGAAATATTCAGGTCTCACATAAAGTGTAGTCATTCATCTTTAATTCAAGTCAAAGTGTAGAAATAACCAGGGAAGTTAACACAATATTTGATGATTTATTAAACCTAAAAACATTATTACTTATTTAAAAAATGTAGACAAACATCCCAAAATAGACATGTCTTTTTGAAAATGGGCATCACCTGCATCTCTACTTTTGTAACAGAATAAAGTTTGAACACCAGTGGGTCGAGGTCGGGTATTTTGAGGAGCAAGAAGAAGAGAAAAAGAGTCCATCAGCACAACCTTCCAGACCAGAAATCATTAAACCTTGAAAAGGGTCTTTGAAATAATGTGTCTAACAGTACAATGGCAGAGTAGCCATACGTATTTACCCAAGCTTGGATTTACAACTTTTGATGTGGCAGTATTGTGACTGAGTTACCTGAGCAGTGGGAAAATGACTAAGGAGACACTATACAGCCACTTGGGTTGTGATAACTACCCATGCAAGTTAAACCATTATGTTCCTATGTACTGAAATGCAAGAAAGTGATGAGATTTCCCCTGATCACCTTCTTCATTAAAATCTAAACCTAACCCTCTGGACCCTAAATACCCATTTTGTCTATTTGTAAGGGCGGACAGGGGATCTTTAGGGGGAGATAGTAGGTCAACAGTAGATGACACATAGAAGTGGTATACACAGTGGGAACCTGGGGTGCAGGTCAGTTTGAGGTGCAGGTCAGCACTGTGTGGCAAGGTTGACCAATCATAAATTTAAGTTATCAGAGACTCCAATACTTAGAAAGAAGAAGGTAGAAAAATAAGATGACGATGAAAGAGGAATATTTAGCAAAAGTCTGGCCTGATCTAGCTTTAAGAAACTGCAACATATTTGTAGAGTACACCACAGTAAAACTACTGGGCTATGGAAACGCCTGTGGATGAACAAACTGTGTGTAAAGCCTAATGGCTGAGGTAAACATACCCATGGAGAAGTGTTCAGAAAGGAAGGAAGAGGAGGAGAAAGAAAAGTAATATATCCATGAGGATCCATCAGTAGAACTTTCCAGGCCAAAAATATAATTAATCCTTGAAATATATTTGAAATCATGTCCTGTGTGCAAAGACTGGTTTATTTTCATCTATAGGAAGTTAGATTTCCTTGGAAGGAGATGGAGGAGAATATTAGCAAATACAAGAGGGACCTGTCTCTAAAAATGAATCTGTCATGATGTTTCATTTCTATGCTGTTTAGCTCATGATCAAATTTTCTTTTTTTTCTGTCTTATTTTAAAGGGTCAACGATCATTCTGAGGAGGAAGTTCTCTGCCTCTCAGTTTTGGGACGACTGCAGGAAACACAGTGTGACTGTTGTGCAGTACATAGGAGAGGTGATGCGTTACCTCTGTAGCACACCGAAGGTAAAATGATTTTGACTCTTCCCAGCTTTTTCACACAGTGATGCTGCAGCCATGCACAGCTCAGTACTGCAAAACTTAGCAGTCATTCAGTTGAAGTAGGAATAATATCTGTTTTGCAGATATTTGAAGATTTTTAAGTCTAATAGAAATATTTTGTAATGATTTTAGAAGAGCAGTGTGTAGGATTGCAGATTGCAACCAGCTGAAACTTCCCCCACGTGCCAAGTGTGAACTTCTGGCTCGGATTTCTTCAGTTTTCATCGTTCAGAAGGTTTTTTTTTCAGGAGCCGAATTATCCACAGAGGTCTCTTCCTCTTCAAAACAAACAGACCCGGTGATCTAAAACGTTAAAAACACTGAATAAAACAGTTTCATGTTATGAATCAGTCTTTATCTGACGCTGTTCAACTCATTGCAGACGGTCCGCTAGCCCAGCACCTGCTAATGTGCTCACCTTTTCTCTCGGATAACTTAAGATCCAGACGTTCAGGAAGTTTTTACCAGGAGCCGAATTATCTGCGGAGGTCTCCTCTGCTTTAAAACAAATGGAATGGAATTTAATCAGGTAAAAAAAACTGAATAAAGCATTTTCACGTTAAAAAAACAGGTTTTTCCAACGTTATTTGGCTCGTTACAGACGGGCTGCTAACTACAGTGGTGAAAACTTGAATGGCCCTATCTAGACCCAGTGTTTGGTTTGTCTGTTCTGGGCTACTGTAGAAACATGGCAGTGCAACATGGCATAGTCCAATGAAGAGGGCCCACTCCCTTTGTAGATATAAACAGCTCATTCTAAGGTAACAAAAACACAATGATTCTTATTTTCAGGTGATTATACACTAAAAAAAACATACTTATTATATTATAGTCTATTTCTGCCCTAGATCGTACACACTTGACCTTTAAGCTGCCGATTCTGCCCTTTAATTTTCTTAATTATTTTTAGTTATTCCATGTTTCCCCCACTTTGTTGCCTTTGTAGTGTAGAAAAGCCTCTGCTGCTGCAGTGTCTTGATCATGTGACAGTTCAAACTGAAACACAAACCAGTGGCATTCCTTTAGGGTTGGCAGGCGGTAAAGGTCACCCTCCTTCTTTATTAGGAGACATATCAGGAGCATCTGAATAGATTATACCTCTAAGTTAAGATTTCTTTTGGCTAAAGGTTAAAGGTAAACTACGCAGGATTTTCCTAAAAAATGTTTAGACTCATACAGAATTAATCCCTCTTAATCATCACTAATGACCCACTAGAACTGTGTGGCCGAGTATTTATCTGCAGAGCCTCTGCCCTCTTCCTGTATTTTCTTTTTATTTTCTGTGTTTGGGACATTTATGGCGTGTACCCCATGTGCTCAGATCACGTCAGGGCTTTATAAAAAGGTAGTGAGCAGGTGCCAGATTGTAAGCAGCAGGCATCCAAGAGATACAGCGCTGAAAAAAACACAAATTAAGTGAGGCGAAACGCCAAATGATAGTTAACCTGGGGTTGGTTTTCACTTTCACTTGGTGAGTATATCTGGTGTGTGTATTTACAAACAGTAACGACAATCGTGCCGAGTATTTCTTTGAGGGTGACTCAAATATATATAATTGCAGTGTTAGTTTTACTGTTTAATAACCTTTATTTATTCATTAAGTGCCAGTTTTTAGTGTGATTGCAACTCAAACAAGCTCACACAGTTCCTTTGGCAGGGCGCTGTGGGAACCACGCCTCCTCTCTGCCATCTTGACTCACACTCGAGACAGCTGCTGAGACAGAGCACTTTTAACCGGCTGCAGCAGGCTGCCATTGAGGCAGACCTACTCAGAGATAACTTTCCAAATCTGTACATTCCCGCAGCACAACACAGCTGGCTTACCAAAATAGAAATCGTTAAATCTCAACTATCATATTCCAGCCTCCTGCGTCATTATCTGTAGGGGTTTGAACAGCGTGGCACATTATGGATACGACTGCAGATCTGATGAATAGACATTTGTAAAAGGCATTGCACAACTCTCAGATTTTTTATAGGATGTGTCTGACTGTATTTAGGAGTACTGTAAACACTGTACCTACATGTATGGCCATTCAGAGTATCAAATTGCATCACATGAAGTGCAGTCTCAATTTACTGCATGACCCTTCTTCAGTGAGAGGAGGTGGTCTGTCTGTATCTGGTCACCACTAGGAATAGATGCTGGCCTTAACTTAGGAAGACATATCATGTAACTTGGCAACCACATGACCTTGGACTAGTATGGGTCACATTTATTACAGTATATGGTATTTCTGATACAGTATTTGTTTGGTTTTTCTTTAGAGAGACGAGTTTTTTTAAGCCTCACACTGTATTTCTTCAGTATTTCTTCTGTCTCTGATTAGGTCATTTACAGTTAATAGATTCTAGCACTTCGATTATTTTAATCAAAGCGAGGGTAGGCACAAATCTAAGAAAAAATTACAGGCAGAATTTGAAAATACACCCTCCTCCTGCAGCTCTCCCCTCTTTGTCCTAAGCCCCTCCCACCAGATGACTGCAGGCACATGCACACACTTCATACAGTAACAGTTGTTTCCCATTATTTCATTGTACAGTTGCTTGCAGCTCAGTCACTCAGCTCTCATCGCACCTCTCTCTCTGTTCATCAAACTACAAATTAGACAAGAAATAGCTAGCTAGCCACCCCACGGTCCCTTCCCCATGCTCCCCTCCATTGTGGAGAGAAAAGCGGGGAGCCACTACAGCGGCTCGAGTTCGGCCAATGCAAACCCATCAGAGTGGGGTATCACAGCGGGCTAGAGGCCAGCAGCAGTTCTCGGTCTAACCAGTGTAAGGGCAGCAACAGAAAGTTTGCTGATCCTGCAGGACAGAGAGCATATCTTATTTTGTCTTTCATGTTGTGTAGCCTTTGTAAATGCTTGTGTTATCCAGAGCTGCTTTGTGGAGGAACTTGTTGCTGGGCACCTGTCAGTCTCTTTCTGTTTTTTGAGCCATGCACTGTTCATATTTGGTGCTTCAAGTGCTGAACAGATTGGTGGTATTAGCTTTGGGCGCTGAAATGTTTTTTTCCTGCAGTGTTTACATTTGATTTCCTTCTGTTCAATGTCATCTTCACAAAAGCCAAAATGTGTCCAGACAACGGAGTCGGCATTTCTCTTTGGTAGAAGCTGCTCAGGTTGCTCAGTTGGCTCGATGTTTGAGTTCTCATCCATGTCGCTTTCAGGTTGTGGACTGGACGGGGTGGAGTCACATGACTACATACAGTAGTGCATTTTTAAGGGGACAGTACATGAACACACACAGTAGGGAAAGTATTAGCAGAATAATAAAAAAAAGTCGGTTAGAGGTTCTGAATGTCGGTTTTGATTGATTTTAAATTCACTGCCTATTCACTTCACTAGTTATATTTACAGTAACTGTCTACCCCAGCTTTAATTAGCCATCAAAACATTTTTTTTCTTTAGTACTTAAAAAATGCTTGTTGTATTTAATTTTAATTTTTATGTGACATTACAGAAAGAAAATGACAAGGACCATAAAGTACGCCTGGCCATTGGCAACGGTGTCAGAGCAGAGATATGGAGAGAGTTTGTCAGTCGCTTTGGGAACATTCAAATCCGAGAGTTTTACGCCTCCACTGAGGGAAATGTGGGATTTGTCAACTATGCAGGGAAAATTGGAGCAATTGGACGAATAAACTTTTTTCACAAGGTGAGAATGAGATTAAAACAAGCATATGTGTCTGTTAACATTGTTCCTGCTATCACTGACAGCCAATTTATCAGTGTGTATGTTGGAATCACACACGTCATATATTAGAATGCAATGGTTGTTTGTCAATGAATATTACAGGAATTATGTTTTTTCTGCTGTTACAAAAATGTGTTGGGCACAAAATGCAACACTGATGTCTTTACTTCCTCCTGTAGAGGCTGTTCCCCTTCGCCCTGATCAAGTATGACACAGAGCGGGATGAGCCAATTAGAGATGCTAATGGCCTCTGCGTGGAGTCGCCCAAAGGTAAAGGAAACTCATGCTTAAACTTGCACTAGCATGTACCATGATGCTCAATATTACAGCTGGACTTTTTACCAACTAAATTAGGATGCCAATGATGGGGCAAGTAGTCCACTGATAGACAGTGGCGGTAAAAGACATCTCTTGGCTTTTTCTTTAAGGTGAGACAGGACTCCTGGTGTCAAAGATCACAGACATCGCTCCTTTTGTTGGCTACGCCAAGAATGAAGAACAGACGGAGAAGAAAAGACTTCGAAACGTTTTCAAGAAAGGAGATCTTTACTTCAACAGCGGAGACCTGATGAGGATCGATAAAGACAACTTCATTTACTTTCAGGATCGTGTAGGTGACACATTCAGGTACAGAAATTCACCCTGCTTGGATTTTGAAACTTAGTTTTTCTTTACTTACTTACAGAATCACTGTTTGTAGTTTATCTTTATAAGATTAAATTATTCATAAGGGTCATATGTTTTTTCCCCCAGGTGTGTTTTTGTTTTTGTTATATATTTTCATGAATATCCTCCTGTTTGAGACGTGAACCGAGTTATTGGTATGCAGCTCTCTACCAACACTATCAAAACTAAAGAATTAATAGGAATATTTTTTCTAGTCAACAGCACATTTGAATAAACACAATACATGTACAATACATTTCCTGTTGACCTCTTAATGCAGTTTTCAGCAGTCCTGCAACATTTAAAGATGTTATATACGACATTCGTAGTCTGAGCTGGGACTGCCTGCACACAGCTCTCACCTCTAACGTCACAAGCAAACATAGTGGAGGCTAAGCCAAAATAGCTGTGGTAGGGTGCTCGAAACTTTTGATGTCTCTCCCTCAATAGAAATTGAACTGTTGCGCATTGTTTTCAGTTTATGCTTCAGGAAAAGGTTTTAAGTCGTCTCCATGGTAACCAGAGAACCTCTTTTTTACGCTTTGAATCTATTTCTGTCACATTTAGTGAAGCCAAATCTGCACTGACAGCTTGAATCACATAAATGTCCCGCTGTATAGGTGCGTTTTACTTTTTAACCGTATATACATTGATTGATAATCTCCCAGTCTGTCTGTGAGCAATAGGTTCCCCTCACTCACTACAGTGGGCTGGGAATTAAAATCAATGAATCAGTAAATACACTATTGATTTCTTCCTGAAGGTGACATAAAAAGCATCTTGGTTCAGTAAATGTCAGTCAGTCAGTCTGGTCAGCTGTGGACTGAGACACAGACGCTAACAGTGACAACAGCAACAGTGCTGATAAAGCTTATAGTGTTAATCTGGAGGGTAACCAGAGGATGGGCCTTTGGCTTCTGCGTCATTATCGGCGATAACAGCTGTATGAATGCAGTGTAGAGCAGCGGTGAGCAGCTAGCCAGTGGGATACACTCACAGGGACTCAGCTGCCAGTCTGGCTTCCAAAATAAAGAACAAAAATGTGAAGTGTGATTTTACCCTCTGCTTTGGACGCCACTACTCCCGATATCTTAGCAGCAAATAGTTGTTCGCTGTTACAGTAGTTTTCAAAATCTCATCTATTAAACCTTTAATGTACAATGCTGCATGTTATGCCCTAGGCTTCTTAAAAAAAAAGCTAGGCGAACTTGTATTTGTAGCTCAGACATGGAGGTGTTTCAGTTTCCTCACATGCACAGACCTGTAAATTGTACTTTTGCCTCAGGTTAAAAAAGCAGCCTGTATGAAGTTGTAACTTGTTTGAGCCTACAGGTGGAAAGGCGAGAATGTGGCAACGAACGAGGTGTCCGACATCCTGACGATCAGCGATTGTCTCAAAGAAGCCAACGTTTATGGAGTCCAAGTACCAGGTGATGGTCATATCCCCTGTACATTGTACCTCACAGTATGTTTGATAAGAGTGTCCAGACTTCCTCATGGCAGAACATTGAAGAGAGACATTGATTTGATAATGGATTGGTAAGTGTCAGTTTCAATTTTGTTTTGCAATGAAGGGCATGAGGGGCGGGTAGGAATGGCAGCAGTCACTGTGAAGGAGGGTGCTGAGTTCAATGGAAGCAGAATATATAACCATGTGGTTAACTACCTGCCTTCATATGCCCGACCTCGCTTTATCAGAATACAGGTATGTTAACTTCACACATGCTTCACTGCATTTCACTTCTGGAAGAAAAACCATGTATCAAAAATAATGCAATATTTATGCCACCTTTTCCCCATTGTGTTTGCAGATTATGATACTTTGATGCTTTTTTGATTGAGTATTTTGTACCACGCAGAATGCCGTTGAGGTGACAGGGACTTTCAAGCAAATGAAGGTGAAGTTAGTGGAGGAGAGTTTCGATCCAGGACGTATCCAGGACCCTCTTTACATCCTTGATGATGCAGAGAAAAGTTACGTACCGCTGACAGCTCAGGTCTACAGCTTCATCATATCAGGACACATCAAACTATGAGTAGACTCTCAGTGTTCATTAAATGTGCGGGCATTGATACTTTTAATAATGAACTTCATCTTAGTGACTGAACAGAGATTTTAACTCATGTTATTTGTGTGTTGTAAAATAATATGGAGACATAGTAAATGGTTTCATTAAAAGCAGTAGATGGGATCAGAATATAAATGATATATTTACTGCCAAGTGATAATATAAAAAGTACATTTACAAGCATGAGGACTTCTGCTTTTACTTTATTCAGTCTAAAAATGGTGCTGAGAAGCAACGCTGTACATATGAATGATCAAATTGTTTACTGAGATGCTTCTGACAGCGAGGACAGTGGCTTTTAGACTTTCTCTCAATTTTTTTTTTGCCAGATTTCTGCCTACCCAGCTTTAATGCAATGCTTATAGGAAAGACTTGAGTAGCATGTAATTGCTTAGAGTTACAAAAAATATGTAACACAGGTCCTAATATGAATTTCATGTTTATGTGTCAATATCTGTAAATATGAATTACTTACATTACTACATCTCCTATAAATTAAAGTAATTCTAACTTGTTTCCATGTGTATATCACCTCTGATTTACTCGTAATAATCAAATCAAAGACAAATTCCAGGTGTGACTGAAGGGGACGACCATAAGGTGGAGACAAAAACACATGCAACCAGAGTCTCTGCCCTCAGTGTAATTGGGATACACAGCACATTACATTTTACATTATATAATTTAATGTAGACACCCTAAAATGACACCTTGATGTGATTATTAAACATTGTGTTCCAAAACCATCGACATTCATCTGCAGTCTATTGTCTAAATTATCACAGACTGCTAAGGCTTCTCTTAGGTGGAACAACTAACGTGCAAAAAAACATGACAAACGTGCATAGGAGTACGTGTACACTTCTGTGTTTAGTATGTTCTGACATGGACACCATGTTTATGCACTCTAGTGGTGTCCAGACACTATAACGTTGACGACTTTTCTAGGTTAGAAGCAGAGAATAGCTAAATAACTGCAGTAAACATTATCAGCAACTAAAACTTTTTTTTTTACATGAATGAAAACAGTATTCTTCTTGTGGTTATGCACATGTTCAAAAGCCTCTGAGATTGTGACAATTTCAGACGTCAATAACTGCATCTAAAACACACAACTGTGCAGCAAAAGCCTGTATGGGTTTCTTTAAGGGGGGTGTTTTTCCGTATCCTTTGTAAGGGTCAAAGGACAGAGGGATATCGGATGTTGTAAAGCCCTCTGATGCAGATTGTGATTTGTGATTTTGAGCTTTATAAACGAAATTGTATTGGCTTAAACGTGCAACTGGAGTGAATGAAACAAGTGACGAGAAGACAGCACTGTTAGTGAGGGGGAGGAGATGGGCCTGGGGGGGCACTACAGCGGTGTGACAGCAAACCGATGATGTCAACTCGCTGTCAGAGAGAGGAGAGAATGAGAGAGCAGTTCTTAGTATTAAAACTGTTTGAAAAGATATGCATCAAAATCAATATGTTTGACAGCACTAATGCACTCTATGATTTTCTTATTTTTCATGTTGTATGACAGTATGGATTCGGGCATTACCATCTACAATCAGACATCTTAGATTAAGCACTGAAAATAAAGAACAAAAACCCTGTCCGGTGGCATCACTTTCACACACTGAAAAGATACAGTCATCATAGCATGAGAGCCTTACTCATTATTGTTTTCTCAAATTACTTTCTTAATATATGAACAGTCTAGCCCAAGAGCCTCTTTCCAGATATATCCACAGACAAGACAGTGACAGAGTAACTGGGGGCATGTTGAATGGCAGCTTTAAATACCACATTGTAGATGGAAATTTGGACAGTCAGCTTTCTCCATGTCAACTCTGGAAAACATTCCCCACTGAAAACAATTAAATTCCAGATATGAGGTCCTTTACAACAAAGTTAAAGTGCTGGCTAAAGCAAACCAGAGCTGTACCCATTTTTAGCTACTTGTATTGTAAATTCAGCCCAGTTGGTGGAAGAAAATGTTGGAATTGTATGTTTCTGCGAACAACAAATACGTTGGCATGTTTCAAGCGTATCATATCACTTGGTCATCTGAAAGTGGAGGTGATGGTGGACACTGTGACAACTGGTTGAGAGGTCTGCCAAGCTGGAGATCACTGTTCAAAAACAACACCACCAGTTGTGTTTGCTGACCCTTGGTGACGTTTCCACCGGTGTTTGTGGCATGGAACCTGGGTGTTTTTCATTGATTTGTCCCTGCGTTTTCAGCAGGTTTTGTGCTGCCAAACATGGGTGTTTTGAGCCAAACATGATCTTTTCCTGACCAAAACCAAGTGTTTTTTGTGCCTTAACCTTTTGCCTGATGAAGATCTAGTTACTGAAACATCACAATAAATGTATCACTTGCAAGTTAGACAGTGTGCAGGAGTTTGTCTGCAAATTGTGTCCTGCTCCTCCCACTCCTCTGCACCTGTGTTAGACTTCACCACAGTGTTGAGAAATGTTTCAATGTATAAGCTACAAAATAATGTACAGATGTAACATATCCATGGCTTGCAGAAACATACAAGTATTTTTTTTTTGGCAATTACCAAAGTGTATTGTGGTATGTGTATCTTGTGGTTTTTATGATACTGAAAGCTGTATAATTAAATAACACTGTAAAGCCCAATGAGGACTAAAGCTAAATAAAGGCAATAGCTATAAACCCTGCAGCACATCCGTTTCATGCTCTGGATTTGAACAACGTTAAATTGCATTGCGCCTATCAAACAAATCTATTCAACTCACTTCAGCCCCTGAAAATTTTTAATGATTACAAAATAAGTTGCAGATTTCCTTCAGAGGGACAAAGTCCTGCTGCAGGTAGAACTTGTACAAAACTATCAGCATAGGTCAATTTGAATCAGTTTCAATTCAAACATCAATTCAAGAATCACTTTTTCACCCATTACACAACAGCAAATTCACCTACACACAGGGAAATAATAAATACATAAACAAACCATGACAGACAAAACCTCTAATCTAATCTTAGAGGTGCACTATTGTTGCACAAGTTCAGTGTAATATTCACTCCACCACCCTGATGGAGGGAAAGGTGTTTTTATTTTTTTATAGTCAGTCTGTAGCTTTAGATGTAAAAATAAGTTAATATTTGATTTGATTGTTGGAGCTCTTGCTTGGTGTCACAGTGAAGTCAGTCCAGAGGTAGGACCAGGTCATTGTTTTGCAAGTAAGTCTTGGCACTCAAATCCCAACTCAAGACTGACAAGTCCAGAGTCCTAAACTTTGAGTTCCTGATCCTAAAGAAGTCTAAATGTGCTCTTCGACCACCACATAGTTTTTGAACGTGAACAAAATTATCTTTGGTATCATTTGTTTTCCGCCAACTGGTGCTCATTAACGTAACGTTAGTTCTCCCTGGTTCTTGGTTGTTATCATCAAGCGTACTGGCCATAAATCCATTCTTGTCCTCCTAGATTTAAGGGCCGCATTCAACACCATTGACCGTGACATCCTTCTGGACTGTCTCCAAACCTGGGTAGATATTAATGGCACAGCTCTACAATGGCTCAGGTCATACCTAGTAGGCTGGTCTTTTTGTGAGGGTAATGCCGATGCCAGGGAAAGTGATGGTCATCTTATACACAGACATAATAGCAGTTTCCATTTGTATGCAGATGATACTCAGATCTATTTAAGTTGTGATCCAACATAAAACTATCAGAACAAACCTAACCTGCTATTTTATGACATTCACAAGTGGACATCACAACATTTCCTGCAGCTTAATCTATGTCCCACACAATAACTCCACATGTAACAGGCAGAACTTCACAGGACGTCTGGAAACTGTTATTCATGCATTCATAACAAGTCAATTAGAATATTGCAATTCCTTGCTCTCTGGGATCAGTACAAAATCCCTCTCACTCCTCCAGCTCATCCAAAACTCTGCCGCCAGAATCTTGACTTGGACAAGGAAGTATGACCATATCACACCAATCCTGGCTTCCCCAGAGTGGTTATCTATTGCTTTGAGAATGGATTTTTAAGATTTTATTGATTATTTACAAAACCCTTAGAGGCCTCGCTCCAAGATTTATAACAGATCTTTTATTGCCTTATAATCCTTCTCTCACCTGAGATCCTCAGATGCATCTTTTCTTGTTGTTCCAAGGTCTAGATTAATTCACAAAGGTGACAGAGGCTTTGCAGTCAGAGCTCCTCGACTCTGGAATGACCTGCCTGAGGAGATCAGGGCTGCAAACTCTCAGGTGCTATATAAAGCTTCTTCTTCTTCTTCTTCTCCTTCTAATTCTTTGCTGCAAATTGAGTGGATGCAGAGGGAATGTGGAGCTAGGGAATTAGGCGTTGGCTTGCAGGTAATGAATAATGTCAACGTTAGCTGAGTCAGAGGGCTCAAGTCCAAGTGAAGTCATGAGTCGTTGGTGTTTAAGTCGAGTTGGAAGTCTTTTTTGATATTAAGTCAGGTCTAAAGTCATCAAATTTACCTTGAGTCCACACCTCAGTCAGTAACAGGCATGATGGAAATAACTTTATTATTCAAATGCAATTTTTCCAGCCTTCTTACAAATAATTATTGTGAATTTCAGTAGTATTTTCTCTTCATTAGTTGTCCCAGTTTAGACACAAAATGGACTAAATGTTCATCTTGTCTTGTTTGAGCGGAACGATAACAGATCACAAGTTGTGTTCAGCCAAAACACACAGACAATGTTCTGCATGATTCAGGACATGGTGAGAAACAGATATTTCTTCAGACTTCATCTTGTTTCCCAACTAATCACTGATCCAAAATGAATCATGAATTATTGTCACTTTCACTGCTGTGAAATTAAACCACTGTCCAAAAAAAAAAAATCACATTATAGCCAGTCTGACAACAAGTAAGCTCGTCCAGTGTAAAACAAGACCGTCTCCCTCCAACACTCTGACAGATTCGGGTTCAGCAACTGCCCAGTGTGAGTGGAGACAAATGCGGAATTGCTGCTTTCTCACTTCCATATGTCTTATGAGACCAAGACTCAATTTGAAGTAATGTTTACTGAGAAAAGAGCAAAGGCAAGGAGTGGAGAATAAAGGAGAGGAGAGAACACACTTAGCCTGACTGTTGCAACTGAACATAGGTAGATTGTTGGTTTATCATATTTATTCAGAAAATACCATTTGCATGGTTATTTTTGAATGGTTATTTGCTTTTATTTACAGTGTGGCATTGTTTTCTTTGTTGATAAATGTCTGGACTCATATTAAAATGGAAAATAAGCCTACGTGGTTATGAACTTGCTCTGTGATTATGTGAAACTGTGGAGTGATGTATGAGGACATATGTGTGACATGTTTTTGTTTGTCAGTTTGTTTTGTTCTCTTTTCTTCTAGACTTATTTGTAAATTATTCTTTATGTACTGGAGTCCACCTTTAAGTCATAAAAAATACATGCCTTGTGCATGCCCAGAAAATAATGTATATGTATGCCATGTGCTGAGCCTTTTAAACCAATAAAAACTTGAATTAAAGCTGCAAGCAAGGGTGTTGGAATGACCTGTTGCACATTTTCTGTGTCCACTACGGCTGAATCCAAATGTCCACCCTCTGGACTTGCGGACTGAGCCCTGGTTGACTTCAGTTGTATGTAATGTCACGTGGAAACATTTAACTATTGCTGCTGTCATATTCAGATATATGTCATATAAGTTGATGAATAGTGCCTATACAGCTGTTCCTGCAGGTAATAAGATATAAATCCCATGTATAGCCTTTTTGTGACTGAGCAAAAATGTATCTCTATGTAACACACAGGCTACATGCCTTCAAAAACAGACATGCTTGTATTAAGGACAGGACTATAACTCAATAAGTAAGTATTAGCGGGCAAGGTGGGAAGCATGGATAATTACAGACCTATTGCACTAGCCAGTGTGGTATCCATATTATTAGATAGATTATGTGCATTTCTAGGTACCTCGGACAATCAGTTTGGTTTTAAGGCCAAGCATGGTACTGATGTATGTATCTATGTATTAAAGGAAATAGTAGAAAATTATAGAAGACAGAACTCCTCTGTTTTAATTGGTTTTATTGACGTCTCTAAGGCTTTTGACCGAGTCAACCATCATAAGCTCTTTTTAAAGTTGAGTCAAAGGGGTGTGCCTGACAGTGTAACTAGGATTCTGTCTTATTGGTATGCTAACCAGAGCATGCAGATAAAATGGGGGAATGTATTCTCTGCTCCATTCGGTGTGGGTAATGGAGTTCGCCAGGGAGGACTTCTATCACCAGCCCTTTTTAACATGTATATGGATGATCTATCAGACCAGCTAAGAAACTGTAAAACAGGTTGTATGATTGGTGATACATTAATTAACCATCTCATGTATGCTGACGACCTGGCTATTGTTTCTCCCAGCAGTGCTGGATTTCAACAACTGTTGAATATATGTACTAATTATGGTGTTAATTTTGATGTCAAGTACAATGATGGTAAGAGTGCTGTTATGATCTGCAGGGTAAAAGGGGATATGGACCTTGTTTTTCCCTCTTTTTGGTTGGCAGGGCAGCTTTTGTCTGTCTGCAGTAAAACTAAGTACCTTGGACACATTATTAATGATGAAATGTCAGATGACCTATATAGGCAATGCTGTGTGTTATATGCACAAGCTAACATGCTGTTTAGGAAATTTTCTTGGTGTTCAGATTATGTTAAGATTAATCTTTTTAGAGCTTATTGTACTCCTCTTTATACTGCCCCCCCTGTGGATTAAATTTAAAAAAGCAAACATCCAGAAGCTCCAGGTTGCTCATAATGATTGTATGTGCATATTGCTTAGAAAACCCAGGTGGTGCAGTGCAAGTGATTTGTTTTGTAATGCAAGAGTCAATACGTTTCATGCTCTGTTGAGAAATCTGATGTACAAATTTATCTGTCGACTGAATGGGTCCCATAACTCCATCATTATGCTGCTGTCAAATCCCTGTTTAAGTTCTTTGCGATACCAGTCACCTATGTGGAAATATTGGTATGAGTGCCTTTTTTTTTTAAATCTTTCTGTGTTTTATGTCTTTTAAATGGACCTTGAGTCTATGAAATAAAAGTTGATTGATTGATTGATTAGAAACCTTCTTTTGTTGTGTCTCAGCCTTTTTTTGTGCCTATTTCACTGCACAGCCAGATAGGCTGCAATATTAAAATGCATTTTCAGTCCTTCTACAACCTGCACTTATTATGTATATCATGATGATGTGGTTGAATATTATTACTGGCCTACAACATTCAAGTAACATTTTAATAGACCTAACTGTGAATAACTATTTTACACAATTATACTTTTATTTGGCAGTTCAAAACCCTATAATGTCACGTCCGTATTGCAATGAATTGTGGGTTATTAAATCAATGAAGTCTGCTGGAGTCTGCACCCCAAGCAGACTCTTTTGAAGTCTGCAGAAAGTCTGCTTGAATTGTGGATTGTGGATTTGGAGCCATCATTGGTGCACATCAACTTTGAAGTCGATCAGGAGGAGTTTGTTAAGGTATGACCTCTGAAATGGCCAAAAACGCACACAAATTGAACATATAATTAAAAATGGCTCTTGGGTTTAGGGTAGGGCTCCAAGAGACTTTAATGTGCGTTTTGGGACGTCACTATTTTTTTAGGGGGCGCTACTGAGTCTTTTTTTTT